CGACAGTCGCGCGTGGGGTGGGAGCTCGGGTGGGGTTGAAGCGCGGCGGGTCGGGTCGTGTCGGTTGCGGCCGGGCGGGGCGGTCCGGGGTGGGGCGCGTACCGCCGTCTCCGCCGCGTCCGCCGCCGCTTCGAGCTCGTTCGCCTCAGCGTCTGCCGCCTCCTTGAGCAGCTGCGCATCGCCGATAACCTCACCGTACTCGCTCTCTCCACCTGAGCGCTTCACCACCTTATCCTCCTGCTTGAAAACCCACTTCGCCTTCGCCGCGGCGGCGGCGACGCTGGCCTGCGCGACTTTTCCGCCGCCGCCTGTTGCGCCGCCGCCTCCTCCTTCTTGGCCAGCTTGGCATCCGCCTGCTCCAGCAGCTCCGCACGCATCAACGACGACGCTGCATAGGACGACGCGGCGATTTGGCCAGACAGCGTCTTGAGCACAGCTCGTGGTTGTCCTTGGCGGCCTCGCTGATCGTCTGATGACCAGGGCAGCGTCGAGCGTGGGGCGTGTGACCAGCTTCCTCATTTTCTCCACTGGTTGGGTTTCACTGCCATCCTCGTTGGGCCATTCGTAGTATAGAGTGAAATAGAGTCCACTCTCGAACGTCCGTTGGACGTTGGAGGATAAGTGAGTACCTGTGTGCCAGGAGAAACCCCGCTGCAGGTCCCACACTACGCTAGTCCTAGTATAAGAGCTCATCTATCTGGCAACCGTGCAAGCAAACTCATCACACATCAGTAAATATATACACAGATACACAGGCTGTCTGTGTCAGTTCACTTCCTTATTCCCACCTCAGAGATACATGCTGTGCGCACGTTTCTTACCTAGCACACCACGCTCATCGTCTCCACTCTCTAGCGTGCCAGTCACGCTGCTCTCACGCTCACTCTCCGGCCGCATGACACCACGCTACACGCCGGCGCTAATAGACGTCTTCCTAACGTCTTCACTCTATGGCCTCCGCGTAGCCCGCCCAAGGGCTCAGGACCTTCATGTAGTGGCCCGCGCGGAACTGCTCTGGCACGCCCACGAGCGGCGTGGTGATCGTCGGGCTCGTCACACGCAGCACCGAAGGGTTGCCCTCTGCGGGTGCGACGCGCACACGCGACTCGATGTACAAGCCGCCTTTGTTGCCAAGCGGCCCGTCCGGAGCGTCCAGCAGCTCGCGGTCGCCCGTCAGCTCGAGGCGCAGCGGCTCGCCGGTGGAGCGGGCGGCGCAGAGCGACGGGGGAGGCTGCCACCCGCACGCGAGCTGGTTGACGCGCCTCGCCGCCTCCAAGTCGGGCGCATCCCCCTCTCGTGCCGCCAAATCATCGAGGGCTGTCCCGCCGAGTGCGGCGGCGACAGCCTCCCGTCGCTTGAGCTTGAGGCAGATCGTCGGGCCGGCCAGCGGACCGCTCTCCGTCCCGGCGGCGGCGGCGAGTTCGTGCACATAGGTGTACACCCCCTCCGGCGTGTTGGCCAGCGGGCGGTCAAAGGACCGCCAGTCGGGCTCTGCGAACGCGTGCGCGCGCACGAGCACCTCCGGCTTGCCAGCATCGCCGAGCACCTCCAGCCCGGGCTTCGCCGCCATGAAGCTGCCCAAGTCGCGATGGACCGTCACCTAGGACGGCTCGGCCCCGCGCTTGAGGCGCGGTCACAGCACTCGGGGCGACGGCAGCGTGTGCCGCGCGTCCGCCTCGACATTCAGCGAGCGGTGCTCGCCCGGCTCTGCGCCCCCGGCGGCCGGCACGCCGGCGACCACGCGCTGGGCGGTCTCGCCGAAGCGGCGAAGGTCCTCCTCTGCGATGGCGGCCGGAGGGGGGGTGCGACGATTGAGGGAGGGAGAGAGGGAGGGGGGGGGGGGAGAGAGGGAGGGAGGGAGAAAGGGGGGGGGGAAGGGGGGGGGGGGGAAATAA